CATATTGCAAAAGTTGTTGCCGTTGCACAACCGCATGCCACAACATGCAACCAGCCAGTCAGCTGGGTGGTTTGGGGTCCCAGTCTGGGCCCAACCTGTATGCGTGTATGTGTATGGGTGTGTGTATGTGTGTAGGTGTGAGCTCCGACTATGGGCCTGACATGCCCCACTTGGCAATTGCCGAAACTATTTGTTTACATATTTAGACCATGCGAAAAAGGCAGACATGTTGTCAAGTCATGTTTACTGTGAAATATGTGCATTTAAATGCAGGTGGGCGGCACATTTACAAGCCCACAAATGTGCAACCATATGGGGCATGCAGGATATCCAGGCAGCAATTATTTACGGACCGAATCAAATTTACTTAAAACTTGCAAAAACATACAAAATAAAAAAAATAATTTGTATATTTTTTTATATAGTTTAGCTATGATTTAGTTATTATAATCTCTGAATAAATTTAAGTCAACCTAATTGGCTTTAACATTGTTGATAAAAACTGTTTCTTTTTTATTTATACAATTTAATTTAGAGCACTCATGCGTTTATAATAATTATTATTAAATATGTTTTATTTATTTTTTATTTGCCTATATTTTGCACACACACAATTAAAGCAAAATTACAATTTATAATTGTTGCGCATTTCAAGATTTGCATTTGTTTATTCTTAAATTTCAGTTGTGAGCAGGAGAGCATTGAACGGCTTGAGTTTTATCTTATAAAAGTCAAGATCAAAGTTGGCTCTTCAGACGTAATTAAGCCATTTGCAGCACGTTTTGCCAATTCAAAAAATATATACTTTGACCTCCTGCCCTATGTGCGCTCTTATCGCCGGGCCAGCGGCACGCCCCAAACGCAAAACTCATTTGAATGATTCAAGATGAAAATGTAGACGCAAGAAAGAAAAAAATGAATTTCGGAATATACTCGTACAACACAAGTCAAAATTTGTGCAACCCCTCGAAACGATGGGCGTTTTTGTGAGCTTGTGCCCGCTGGGTGCAAAATTCGTAGAAAAATCACGCGCGCTTATCTCAACCTGAACCAAACCCACGCAATTAACGCCCATTGCGCTGTCACAGTGAAAAATGAGGCAGCAATGGGCTGGATACGAAGACGTAGATGGAGATGAAGAATGAGATTGAGGGCTACGGCGTACAGCAAAGAAGATGGGGCAAAAAGAAAAGGGGGCGGAAGTAGTTGCTCTAAAGCCATCCCCATTCGGGGCAATTGCGAAATGATTTGCAAACGATGCGCAATCGAAATCGAATTCGAACTCCCCATTGTAGACGCCATTTACCAATAGCTACAAATTTTAATTGCCGCTGCGATAGCGCCCAGAAACAGGCAGCTGCCTGAGTTAGTCCTGCAAAAGAAGTAAGTCGCATTGATAAGAGAATCACGTTTCACGGAAGCCAGTTGAAGTGCTTCAGCAGCAGGAGAAGCAGCAGCAGGAGCAGCAGCATCGGCAACTGGGAGGCGTTTCCCCAAAGACAATGTTGCCTGGTGTCTTCATTATCAATGACAGGCGAACGGAAACAATGGTTACTCTTTTATTGCCAGCACCAGAACCATTGCCAGAGTGGGAGGTGTGGCAAGCAGCTGGCGCCTGTGCCTCTGAGTCAAATTGATAAGATGCCGAAAATGACTTGGAAAACAATAAACGTGGCCATGAAATGAATAAAGGCTGCGCATTTAACACCAAAATGAATAGAGCGCCACTTGAATGGAGTGAAACTCAAACGCAATTTCGGTGCATAAACAGAACGTTTGCGCATTTTAATGAGGTTATTATATTCCTTCTCTTTTTTCTCGCAGGTGGGTATCCGATAGGTACCCGCAGTGTTTATTGCTATGTCTGCCGGCATTTTGCGCTATATAAATAAATATAAATTTGCCTATAATTTCAATCGTTTCATTACCAGTGGCAATGATGCTGGAACTTTCGTCATTAATACTTATTTATATATTTATATTTAAAACTTATTCAAATTAGCTTTTAAGCGATATACAATCAATTACATTACTTTAAAAAAATAAATAAAAATTAAATATTGGAGTTAAAACTCAGTTACATAGATCGACTAAAGCATAAATACCAGATTCGATTTAGTTACATTTGAATATACTCTATAGAAATTGCTGTGGAATTGAATTCAATAAGCTTATTTAAAGCTGACCCATTTGTGCAGCAAACGTTCTAAGCAGCTTCATGGTTATCAGTTGACTTTAAGACACCCATCCACGGTCCGCTAATTTCACAGCTAAGCTAAGCAGCAAAAGTTGGTAGTCATTTAATAAAATTTCATTTGATGAGACAACAAAAGTCGAGTCCATCCCAGCTTGCAACTCATTTTGATGCGTAACAAAATTTTATGAAATGCTTGAGAGCAAATTTTATGTGTTGGAGAAGCATAAAATTTTAGCGCTAGCAAAAGTCCCCTGACTGAGGCCGTTGGCGGTTACCCAGACTCCTGGCCATTGCCCAGACTCTCGCTCTCGCTCAGCTGGCTCGGGCTAATAATACGAAGCATTTACACCTTTATGGGGCGTACTTAGAGCGTTTATTTATGCTAATGGCCGAGCCGAACAAGCGGGCCAGCAATGTTGTTGTATTTCAAAGTTGAGCCAACGAAAGTGGCGCCTGGGCGAGCTTTACACTAATACCACCCCGAAGCGCTGTAAAAGCATAAAGGAGTACAAAAGCAGCAGTTACAAGAGCAACAAGAGCAACAACAACAAAAACAAAGACAACATCGGATAGTGAGCTTAAGATTTGAGCAGGTAAACTTACAGCGAGTGTATTTCATCACATAAGACAATGGTTCCAGTCGTCCACCCTCAGCTCTTGACCTCCTCATGCAACTAGAAAGACGAGGGCGCAGTGGCTGCGGAATCAAACAGGACGTGGGGCATACTCACATCCTTGTCACGAATGTGTTTGTAATTTCCCTAGAGTGTGTTTGACTTTGACGACTTAAGTTGTAAAACTTTAACATTATCATTTTCACAACGACGAGACGAAGCAGCTCCTTTGGCCTTCGGCTACCAGCAGCCGGCAGGCGGCAGGCGCTCCTTGATGCAGCTCCTTAGTACAGCTCCTGGGGCATGTGGCATTTGGCATGTGTGTGTGCTTGTTTGTTTGTCCTGCCCGCAAGTTTAGCCAGACATTTTGATGATGTTGACCTTCGCTACTTTTACTTTTCGCAAAGTTCCTTTGCTTCTTTAAATTTGTTGCAACCTCCCGACACTGTTGACATATCGCATTACACTCGAGCACACAGCGGGGAAGCTCTGCTTGAACTTTGTCCAAAGCGCTTTTCTTAAAGCCACAACTTTCTTTCATCCTCACCCCTCCAATCGTGGATCGAGTTACCGAATTTTTCGAATCGATTTTTGAGCATGTGTCAATTAGTTCAATCAGAAGGCGAGAACACATCAACCACATGTGTGCCACCAAATCAACCAACACCACCAACCCGCGAATCGTGTACCCCGACCCTTCCCCAGGGCACAACAGCGGCGCATCGAATGTCATTTCGGAGGTTTTTCCCGTTCATGCGTGCCATTTTCCACAAATTACAAAGCAACAACAGAAATCAGTTCAGATGTCAACGCTCTGGAAAACCCACAATGGCATTTTCCGCCTGATTCAGTTTTTAAAATTGATATTAATTAATTTATAGCTGTGTATCTCTTTTTACATTGACTCAAATTCTGCAATATGATGCGCTATGACAAAAATCTTTGTTAACAGCTTAGATAAATAATGCAAGTTGATTTTTGTGTCGTTTTGGGGAGGTTTTGAAGTTAAAAGAAAAACTGAAGAAGACAGCCTTAAACTCAGTATCTGATCTCAGTATCCCTCTATTTGTTTCTATGATGAGCTCGGAACTCCAAAAGATACTTTCTTTTTCTTCTTCACAAATTCAAGCAGAGCGCAATCGAGCAATGCAGTTGTATTTCTTTCTTATAATTATATACCATATCAAAACGAAATGGTGTGTGAAATTTTGTATCAAACCAGATTTTTTCTCATGAAAATCAATTTCCGTTTGTTCGAGCTAACAAAATGTTAATGTTGTTAACCTGATATTTAGGTCCGCGGGCTTATCGCAAATGATTTCTGAGCAACGTGCGCCGTAAATTAGAATCAAATTGAGAGGAGTCAAGCTGATTTATGCATTTCCCAATGCCCGAATGCAGCTTGATGTACTACAAGAGCTAAGCGTTGAGCAAAACAACCCCCAACCCCGTAGTATCTCACCATCGTCGGACTGCTCGAGGCAATTGAAAAGCCAAAAGGTAAACAGGGAGCATTCGCTTGGGCCACCCTTTGACACGCGACTTGCTTTTGTGTGTGTGCGAATCAGAAAGACATAATCAGCTCGATTTCGTAAATCTCGACAAGCTGCTTATCTGATGAAATGTGAGCAGAGTTCCAAGGATCTGGCGCCATATGATAAACATCTCACACGTTCGCCTCACTCAGACTTCCGGCCAAGGGGCTGTCAAAGTGACAGCTTACGCAATGCGAGGGCCGTCAGAGACAAAACGTGGAATACCAAGTACAGTAAAGCCTGGCGCGTGCGTCTGTCAGAGACGCTGTGCGCCGCTGTCGCTGCTGCTGTCGTTGTCTTCATTTTGCACTCCCTGATTGGCATCGGAAATTGAAGTGTTTTTATTAATTCCAATTGGGCCGATGCGAAAATTTCATTATAGCATTTCATATCTGGTCAAGTTGGCATTTCGCACTCTCTCTGCCTCCATTTCCCCTCGGATTTCCGTTGCGTGCCTTTTGTTTTAGTTTTTTCTCGTGGCAATATTAAAATTCATTGATGCGGTTCGCAGATTTGTTGCGCAATTGATTGACAGCTCAATGCCTCGAATGCGATTGACGCTTATTGAATTGCCTTAGCTCGGAAGTAAGTATTACAATTGTATAACGCAGTAACTGTTCCACATTGATATATAAGGAAAAAACTACGCATTCATTTCCTAGCTATACAGACTTTGAGTTAGGTCCCCAACCAAATTATTTATGTACACATTTTTACATTACTTAGACATTTTTGTTAAATCAAATAATATTCTTCTACGAAAATGTCACCCGCACATCGGGAAATTTCACCTTTTCTAAAACTGGTGCGAGACTTTCTTCTGGGCCGCAAGCATGTAACAAGCCATCGCTACGCAGATACGGTTAGTCCTCGCAGTCAGAGTGAACCTACCATTCCCGATGGATCTGCAATCCGCCTATTTGCCAATCAATACTATCTGAGAGATGCACGAAGACTGGTGAAGCCGCCCATCGATTTGGTTGAGGAGAAGAAGCGAGAACTAGCTAAGAGGGCGAATATTGCTGACAAGGCAGTAGCCGCTACCAAGGCAGGACCTGCTCCCAAGTCTGGACCTGCTCCCAAGACTGGACCTGCCCCCAAGACTGGACCTGCTCCCAAGGCGGAACCCGCTCCCAAAACTGCTCAGTCGGATCAGGTCCAGCCGAAAGCGAGCAAGGCAGCTCAAACTTGTAAGGACGCTGAGCAAGAAAGTAAACCAAAGGAACTACCCACTCCGGGAGAGTTGCATAAATGGGACTAGTACGGCGATTATAAGTTTAATCATTTAAATCAGAAGTGTTAAATCTACAACTGTAGTATTTATTTTGATCTGCAGATATTTAAATTGTGTTTACCTTTTAAATACTTCAATAAGCCCATCCACTGACTTTTCAGTTATTCATTCGTTCAATTGTTCAGTTGTGCGCACATAATTATGGCCTTAGGCATTTGACACAAGCGACAGCAATGTCAGTCAACGGTCAAATGCCGAGTGTGAGAGAGGCTCATAAAAACGGAAATCTAATTAGATGTCAGGGGCGAAAATCATTTATTACACCTGCATGAAATTTTAATTAAGCGCACAATTAACAGAACTGATGCCATTTACAGTGCACCTTTCAGGCTTATATATGCGCTTAATAACATTTAACGCCATCAAAATTTATTTACAATTTAAAACGAGGCAATTTTGCGCAACGAGTCCGCTCGATGCTGAGTGGATTATGCCAATTGTTGATGATGATTGCAGGTCGATTGTTAATTGTCTGTTGCTGAAATTTATGTTAATGACTTTTCACATCGATTTATTGATTACCAGTGTGAGTCGTAGAGGCAGGGAGGGATAGCCTCCCACAATGAAGAACCCACCCTAAACCAAACTAACCATCACTCAAATTTGCAAAAAAAAATAAATAAAAAAATAAGGAAATAAAAAAATATAATCTGATTTCGCGTTATGCAAAAATGCTTATGTACACACACAAACACACACATACATATATACACGGGAGGTGGGGGCTGCCTCAATTTATTGAAATTACCCTTATAAGCTATGCAACAGCCGAGGGTTGACTTCAGCTTGAAGTGGCAGCTTGAAAAAGGGTGTCAATTGCTTGGAAATTTCACTCTTCGTCTGTCAACCCAACATGTTGCCAATGTTGAATCCTATTTTTCTGCTTCTGCTTCTGTTGCTGTTGCAGCTGCCAAAAGTATGAAATTCAATACAAAACTGTAGCATATTTTGCCGCGTCTGGAAGCGCGACAGTTGCTCCAGACTTTTGCCTACTTGATTCCTTATATGATTTGTTATTCCTCGCAGCTCTTCGCTCACATCAATGCATTGGTATTTTTGCTTTTATTTCTGCCAGGCACACAAATTTATTTATTGGTTTGTTTATCGTTGCAGCAATGTGTGGTAATATACTTGTTCCTAATCAATGCAAATTGCTAAGCAGCACGTGTTCTCAAGTGTTGTGCCCATAAGCCGAACAAGCCTAATGAATCTAGACCAACACATGCATTCGTATTAATTGAAACACAAAGTTTTCATAAAAATGAAAATGAAAAATGTGTAATGCTGTGGCTTTGAGTAAATACGAAACCACTTTCAAAATATAAATATTCAAATATTATGCACACAAAACAAACAAGGACGAAAAAAAAAGAAAATGATTGTACACACTCAAAAAAAAAAAGAAGCAAGAAGAAAAACACCCTTTTCGACGCCAGCGTTCAACACAATCCAAATGTCAATTTTGGGCAACCGCTTGGAACAACCGAAAATTGCGGGCTCTCCGACGACCGACGACAGCTGGGCACAAATGTCAACGCTCCACGCTGAACGCTCGCGTTGCACGCTTTCCCTGGCATTTGGGCCAACTCAACTGTTACTCCAATCAGAGACGCGTAATTAAAATATGTACAAACAAGCCGGGAAGCTGGCACGACTCTAAGAAGCGTCGAGCAACAAAAGTTTGTTTACTTTGCGTGCTTTTCTATACAACCAAAAACAACGAAAGCGGCAAGAGAAGAAGAAGAACAAGCAGCAGCAGCAGTAGCAGTAGCAGCCACAGTTCGAGCAATAACAACAAGAAAAGCATTTGCATAAGGCAACAAACAGCTCACAGGTTTAGGCAGTGTTGGGGTTGGGCGCTGGTTTAGTGGGTGCCCTCAAACGGAAGTTAATGAGCACTGCAGTAGTACGAACACAGAGAGAAAGAGAGAGAGAAAGAGAGAGAGAGAGAGAGAGAGAGAGAGAGAGATGGATACAGAGATAGATAGATGAGAGGGGGGTGTGCAGAAGAAAATCTAAAAATTCAAACACCACGACAGAGGCGAAATCACTTCATTAATGCGTCATTTGTAAGGGAGCATGGCCAGGACATAGTCAGGACATGGCCAGGACATAGTCATACGCCATATGCGACCGAAATGAGCCCCAAGGCAAGTGCTCCTCCTCCGGAAGTTGTCTCCACGCCGGGCACGAAACTTTGCGCGAAACTTGCCACCAGGCTGCAACAACGTGTGACAGTCCTGGAAAAGTTGATTATTTTTTGCACGCAGTGTTGAACTGAATGTAGGAAATGTGGCAAGGGCATGCAGCCAGTTTCTAGTACACTGAATAATGACTTTTACCGTTGCGACGCGTCGCTGCTACTGCTGCTGCTGCTGTTGTTGTCGAGCTGCGATGCCTTTAGGCCAAGTTTACGAGTATTTTTTTTTTTTTTTTTTTTTGTTTTTGTTATCAGTCGTGCGCCCCCAAAAATGAGAGACAAGCTTTTTGCTCCCGACTGTTGTCGCAGAGTTATGCAGGCTCATTAAGTTGTTATACAGTTTAGAGAGAAAATTGTCAGCTGGCTTAATTTGGCCGAGAACGGGAAGTGGTAAGGTGGCAGGAGGGAGACCGGAGCACGGGCACATAAACAAAAGATTTCCGGGGCTGGCCTGCCTTGTGCCTTTTGTGTCCTTGTCGCAGCAGCTCATGGAAAATGTTTAATGAAATGAATTTTCAGAGCAAATTTATTATTTGCCTAAAATGAAATGAAAAGTGCGAGCCCTGAAGTCCTTTCATTTATTATACAATCTGGGTGGTGGGTGCATTGTCCGGATGTATATTTTAAGTGTAATTAAACCGGGTCTCGTCATTGAACTGGTTCAGCGGCAAAACCAGCCAAGATGAGGAAAGTACCAATTATACTAAGACAGATAGCGATGATCTCAGTTACTTATTTTGCATATAAATGCAAGCAGCTAAGAGCCAGAGATAAAGTACTATCAAAAGTTAGACAGAGTCAGACATCAACTTTGCCTTGAGATAGTATTCTTCGACATTTTTGCACTTCCAGTTCGTTTAGCATCCGAACTAATCCCGTTTCATATCCATATACTCAAACATATCGACTTTCATTCACTCCGGCATGACCACATCAACTTTTCTTTTGCACAATTTCACCTTCAATTAAACTTGAGGTAATTGACAACGATGGCAAGGAAATCCTGGGCAGAGAGAGCGAGAGAGATGAGAGCATTAAACCACAGGATGAATACACCCCGACACATATACACATAAAAGACTCTCACCAAAGATAAATGGCGATGCCTTAAACTGATTGTGTGGATTAAATTGCCATATTGGCGAAATTGGCAGCGACGGTGTCAATGTGGAGACAACAACGACTCCAACGGATACCAAGATGCCAAAAACTCCCCGAAAAGGGAGCAAGTATCGAAAACTTATTTTTGATAAGCGCAATTATAATTGGATTTGGGTGAAGTTGCTCCAGCAAACAGGGACCCACGAGCAGGTAGCCGCATTTGAAGGGGCAAAAGTCGAGCAAGCCAATGATTAATCTACCTCTGGAGTATTTAAAAAGAAAGATGCGCCTTGAGGGCGAATTGGAAATTGTTGTGTGTTGGGTGCGATAAAGACGTGTCTCCACTCACTCCTTGCCAGCGTGTATTTTTGTAAATGTTTGCTGTCAAGATAAGCACCACACAGCGTGTGGTTTCATTTGGCTTTTGCCCCAAACAGAGTGTGGGGTTAGAGTGAATTTGGAGAAACGGCTTTGTCGCAGGACTTAACAAAGACAAATGAAGTTGTTAGCGACTGGCAGAGAGGGCGAGTAACCGGAGTTTGGGTCTTTTCGGCTGTCGCTTTGATTGTCGTTGCAATGCAACAACTTTGATGTGCAGTTGACTGGTCATTCGGTCATTAATTGAGTTTAATTATTGAGGCGTTAAAGGGGCCGGCAGGGGGATGGTGTCAGAGGTGAATTGCATAGAAAGGGATGGCGATGGTCTATGAACACAGTGAGCTAGTGAACAGTTGCTAAGGATACTGTCTCACATACAAGACCCCGGAGAGCTCTTTAAAATGTATCGCGTATTGTTGCAACACCTTCAGATTCATTCCCCGTTACGTTTGTTTACGGCCTACACCTCCCCACATCCCCGCCCAAAACACTAGCAATGTCAATAGCTCATTAAAACTCAGCAAGAACTGAAGCGGTCCACTGCACCACATAACCCCAAATGACAGACATTTATTTGTGCCCATAATTAAACTCAGACAATGCTGACAATGGCTTCCAACTGTGGGTAGGAAGGGGTGGCAGCGAGGCAGCCGGCCCATCAAGTGACACGCCCCCTTTTTTGGCTTGTCAAATATTTCAGCTGCTTTGGCAACAATTTATAAATGCAAATGGGCGTCGCATTCCACTTCTAATGAGGCCGCTGCCAAGTCAAGGCATAAATTTGAACATTTCTACTGTTTGTCCTCAGGCATTTGCAAGCCCACAAAATTATTGACAACTTTTCGGGTGGTTTGCCACATGTGGCTCGGAAAGTTGCTTGCACTGTGATTTCGTGTTTATTTTTGGAAATTGAAAGACAACATTCGCGAAATATGGACAAGTTTTTCTTTAAATATTTTCAAGCGTTATCCGCGGCACAACAATTAAACCGTAGCCAAAAATATTTTTGAGGGAGTCCATTAACCACTCAGTCCTCGTTCCTCATGCCTCGTTTTGTGTAGCCTCCAGCTGACAGACCCTTTTTAACAGGCTGTGACTTTCCACGCCTTTTGTTCCGCATGCAAATTAATGATGGCAATGATTTGTGGACGGAGTCCGGGTCGGCAGAGTATGGGTCCATTTATTTTCCTAATAAAACTGTTGTTGTTTCAAAGTTTCAATTGGACTTGCCATCGGTTTGCTATGGGGGGTGGTGATCCATTAATATATAGTATCCGTGATTGCTCTGTGTTTTCAATAGCACAATGAAATAATTACTATATATATGCTCCATAAATATTTACTGGTGAACTTGACAGATTTTAAACAGAATGCGATTATTCTTGATAGTTTTTCAGGCTTTAATAAAATGCATTTATTTATAATTTGAATTTATTAATGTATGTTAATACACAGTTTGATTAATACGCACGAGTCAAGAACATCAATTAACTCATTTTTGTTCAAAAACAAATAAGAAATGAATTATTAAAATATATAAATGTTGATAAACATAAATAAAAAGTATTTCCCTTTAACGATTCGTATCCATTCTAGCAATTTGATGTAGCTCTCAATTTTTGATTTGTGGTTAGTATGTAACAAATTCCAATTCGAATATTTAACAATTTAACAATTTAAATTTAAATTTAAACACACTCGAACTTCTTTTCAAAGTGATATCGGATTGAGAATTCAGTTTGTTTTTATGGATGTACTTTAATTCGGGAGAGCCTTATAAAGCGTTGGGTCTGCCTTAAATTTTTACTAAATGCCAGCAAAGTTTGGCTCGCCCATCAATCCCACGAAGGCTACGTCAAAGTTGCACACTGCGCTTTTATGCAGATAAATTGTCGGTTATTTTCGCCCCACCTCCCTATCTGCTGCTGCTGCTGCTCATTCCTGCTCCTCCTGCTCCAGCTATCTTCGCACTCGTTGGCGTTCCGTTTCGTTTGGTTGGCTTTGCAGGCCTGGTCGAAAGGAAGGATGAAGGAAGGCTCCTAACGGACCTAACCGGAGTGTCGGCTGCTCTGCTGATTGTTTCATAAAAGTTTTGTGCTGTAACCGCCCAACTAACTATTGTTGTTGTTCTTGTTGTTCTCGTTCTCGTTGGTGCTGTTTTTGTGATTTTGCAAATTAATTTGCTTATAATTTTTACGCTTAGTTAAACACAATTTTGAGTGATTTTCACACAGAAAATGCTCGATGCTGAAAAGTTTTGCCTTCTGCCGTCAGACGGCAGATGCACAGTGGTGCCAAATGATAAAAATAAAGCACAATTTTAATAATAGTTTTTAAAGCTAACTTGGAATTAAGTGAGTTAAGCTGCAAAACTCTGAAAATTCAGATCTTAATACCAAATCAATTTTCCAGATATTTCATAATCATATAAGAAATAAATACTATAAAGAAATCTTAAAGGTTTTACATATGAAATGTTTCTGAATTAAAGTGCTGGTTCCTGATTTCGATTCCTGTTTTATCGAAAGCATTTAAAACGAACAACAAGCACTGGTCAAAGCCGCATTTAAATGATATTGTCTGGATTCCCAATGGCAGTTCCATTGGCTTCGTTAGGTTCAACTGGCGAAACAAACAGGAACAAAATCGTACAAAAAAGGTACATTTAAATATTATTTCAGTCGGTCTGTCGCTCGTCTCTGTCGCCCCCCGTCCAGTGATTTTGAAGCCCATCGGCGTTTTTCATATTTTTATAAATTGCTATAAATTGAGATATTAATACGATACGCGACAGAAGTCACAGCCGATTGGACATGTAGTTGTTGGTCGGTCGGTTCGCTGATTTCAACATGTGGCAAAAAGTGTCGAGACATTAAAAAATGTTGCGCAAGTGTTGCGCAAACAAAATGTGCAGTTATTTGTATAAAATGGCGACAGGCGACAGAATTATTCGAGGGCAACATTTGGCCAGAGCAGTAATGCTCATAATGAAGTCCATTGGGGTAGTGTGTGTGGCCGGAGAGGGGCAGCAAAATAAAAGATCGCACTTTAAGCTTAAATTTAAACAGCAGTAAGTGTCCTTCCGAGGGACCACATACAGCTTAAATATTCCATGCACACGCAAACACACATTTCGTCAGTTGCTTCAATTGGACTGATTTAATTGAATCAGTTTGCTCGTCTACCAACTCCACATAACTTCCATGCGTGGCCTCCCTTGTCTACCGACATTTTGTCTTCGGTCTTTCAATTTACTACCCAAGCCACTGAGGATGTTGTGGTCCTTGTTGGTGCTGCAGCATGTCTGTAGTTTCAGATCTACGTTTTTCGCACACGTTTGCGTGCCATGCATAGCATAAAAATTTGACACAAAAGCCGTTGCATACAATTGGTCACACACACACACACTTCCGTATATGTGTGTGTGTGTGTGTGTGTATGCAACCAAAGCACAGGCCTATGCCGTATGTTGAGTGTGACCAGACGAGGCACAGGGCTACCCACAGACGACGTGTTGAGGTCGTTGTCATGCACTGATTTCGTATGCAGCAGCAACAACCATTTTAATACATTCTTTCTATAAGCCGAACGCTTCTGTTAAAGGTCTTAAAGGGGTTTCCCTCCATTTCGATTTAAGGGCAGACTTCATATTTTTAAATTGGCTTAGAATGAGGTTATCTAAAGATCGACAAATGAAAATGTTTCTTTATGTTTGCATTTGACTGTTAACGTTATTAAACTACAAAAGGGAAAAATAAAAATAAAGCACAATTCTTCAAAGAATAAGTACATATTTGTATTTATCATTAAAACTACTGAACTTAATATATTTTCTGAGATCGAAAGCATATTGAGTATATATTTCCTGCAAGCGAATGTGTTGAGTTTTTAAAGTGGCAAAAAGTGATGCACCAGGTTTGGTGGTTAGACTAAGAAGAACTTTTATTCAATGTATTCTTAAGTTAAGGTATCGAGCGCAGTATCGATATTTTCTGTTATTAACATTAGTAATCGGAATGTTGTATTGATCTTTTACATATTTTCAACAGAATGAATACATTTTTGCAGTGTAGCAGCCCAAAGGCATCAATATTACAATTCCCTACGCTTGTCGTGAGTATTTATGCCCGCTTAAGCGATTTTCGTATTATCGTTTAACGTGTACGAGTACGAGTCCTAGGCAACAACTTAGGCACCCATCTTATTTGTTCAGCTACATGTAATATTTAATAAGAATGCCTCAATTGGTTCTGAAGATACACACACACACACACACACACACACACTCATACTCACATGAGCCTAAATTCGGGCAATCACAATTTTTATTTTCGTTGGCACCCACGCCCCTCCCCACCGCTTCCCTTCCCGTGCTGCACACGTGCGTTGCTCTCTCGACACGAACTACATAAATAAGCGAACGACAAAAGATACTCCTGTGCCCCCCTCCCCTTCCACATTCCTACACATGTGATTTGGTTGCGGGTGGGGGGCGCTGAGGAGTGTGTGGCAGAAACTTTTCCAATTTTCCCCTTTTTATCGTAAATTACGCACAATTCAATATTTGGCCTTTTTACTGGCTCTTGTTTTGTGTCCCCGTTGTCTGCCCTTTTTCTGCTTGACTAGCTTCCAAGTGTGGCTGGGGTTGTAGATAGTGGGTTGGGTTGGGTTGGGATGGGGTTGTTGGAGTGGGGAGTATGGGGAGTGCGGGGCATTTGTCTGCAATTTCTTTTCTTGTTTTTGCTCTTTTGCTATTTTTTGTGTGTCTCTTTATCGTAAATAAGAAATCTCATACGTGCGTATTCAGCCTAGAACTGCCATTTATCGGTCCACTCCCAACAAAGTCGACTCACTTGCTCATTTGCTTTATGAATGAGTAAGTAAAAGTTAGTTTTACTTTTGTTTTGTGCGCTCAAGGAGTGCGGATCTTTAATCGAAATTGCCATGTGCTCGAACTGTAATGATTGTTTTTCTATGCGCCTTAATTTATTTAGCATTATTTCGATTGGAATGCGGCTGCCCAGAGAACATTCCACAACTTTTTGGCATTATCTAGCTGGGGGTGAGCAAATATGCAGCTTCATTTTAATAGGATTAAAGAAGTTTTCTTTTAGGAAGTAACTAATGTGTACCAGGCAATATTCCATTATCCATATTTATCGATGCAATAATCGAGGAATATTTAACATAAAGTAAGCCATAATCCATTGAAAACACTCTTGCGTCAAATTGCAGCCTTTATTAGCCCACAAAATTCTCGTTCTCTCTGACTCGCTATTTGGGCAAACTCCGGTCAACACGCTGTACGCGTGCTAATTTGAATTTATGATTTAATTGGAAAGCCTTCCCATGGATATTTTGTATGTAGACAGTAAAAATACAACTTCAATGCAGAAACTGCAGCTGCAGCTGGTGAGGCCATTAAAGCGCATTTGGTCAGCCGATTGCTGTTGGGGTTGGGCACTTTGCGATAGGCGAGAGCGGCCGCAGTGACCACGCCCCCAACGTCAGTGGCGCCCATAAAAACATTTATGTAATTGCTGTTATCGACAAGCGCTCAAAATGGCCTCGTTGCGCCGGCTGTAAACGGGCCTTTAATACACTTTTGATTGGATTGTCGCACAAGTTAATTGAACGACGCTGCGTTAGCTGCAACAAAATTCTCTACCCAGGCCACTGACTGGATCGAAAATGTTGGCATTTATATTTGAAACTAGTTGGCGGCGTCCATTCAGCCTACCCAAACCAAAAAAAAAAAAAGGAGAGAAAATCGCCGATTCATGCAAGCTCATTAGGCAACGGGTCGTATGAATAACCATCCCCCCAAAAGCATGCAGCAGTTTCTTTTGTGCTGTCAATTTGACCATTACTGGATTACTGAATGTATTTGGGAAGTCGGACAATCTGCTGCTCAACTGCAACTTGCCGTCCAAGTTCTCTTTTAATGCTCCAACGCATTTTATCTTTTGTAGCCGTCGGTTAATGCGCTAGCAAATTGTTTGAGAATGACCCGCGTAAATTTCATTTCTACTTGATTTACTGTAAATTGTATTGTATACATTGGATATACACAGAAAATGGCAAAGATAAACTGGGCATGCCAATAAAAATGGAGAGCAAATGTAGTCGACGTTTATAAATTGATTGGGGGCCCTGCCTGAAGCTCCAGAAAACGGGCAACTAATTTTGATTCGGTTTGCATTCGAGATTTGCTTTGATGGCATTTGTTATGTGGCAGTTGATTTGTATGATTTGTAGGTGACCTGAACTTTTTTTTTTGTTGCTGGTAAATTGAGTTAAAATAGGCAATTTGGTAGATGTCATGCTCAGCAAGGTAAATGATTTAGGATACTTTGGGGGAACGATTGAAACTTACCCTTCTGATAACTCATCATTTCAAATTAGTTATATGCGCATACAGACAAATCGAATCGAATTTAAAGCAGTAAAATTCACAATAAGATCTGCAAAAGAGAAAATAACAAATATTACTATAATTATCGACAATTGATGTCTTCTTTCTGATATTTATTCAGTAATCAGCATTATTAAAAAATAAAACACAACTCATAATATTTGTTGTGAGTGGTCTCAGCAGCAAACACTGTCAAGACTCAGTTTCATAATCATCATGAATATACTTTTGCCAGTCTTCTTCCACTTGGGTGCCTCTTTTTTTAAGCTACTTCAGTGGAAAAACCTTTTGCATTCGTTGTTTAACTTTCAGTGAGAGGGGAATGTTGATGTGTACCTAAAACTGAGCCCGCATCAGGCTCGCACCGAAACTGAAACTTAAGGAAGCAAAGGACGAGGACGCCTCGAGTAAACAAGCTCAAGTTTTGCTAGTGTTAGTTTTGTAAATTGCAGGTTGCAACATTTTCATTAAATTGAGTCAAATAACAAATAACAGACACGCAGCCCAACAAACTAGGCGGCAGGTAAACAATCAAGACGCCTTCAAGAGCGCTGCAAATAACTGGAAGCTGACTAAGCAGCTTGCATTAACCAATTACTTGATTGTGAAGGTTAGTTCTGGCAACTTTGTTTACTGCAGAGACACAATAATCATAATCATAAGACTAGCTTAGTTCTGAGTTATGTCGTTGAAGTTAAGTTAAGCAGAGTACAGTGAATGTGAGTTTAGATAAACCAGAAGTCAGATTCATACCAACTAACTAATGTCTAACAAGTTAAATATAAATGGATCTTAAGTAAATAACTAATAATGAAAATCATTATTATGAATAATCTACTGTAGCAGGCCACTAGTGACGTTACATATCATGCAACTATTTATGTATTTGCAACTATCGATAAAGGTATCGATAAAGAGGAGTGAATTCAATCATTGTGAATAAAGAAAAATAGGCAGACGTGTTTGAGAAAGAGATATAATTTAGTTTTGACTGATATACCACTTAATTGTGTTTTCTTACAAGCTTAAAATAATAACCGAAACCAGTATTTGATAGTATGCAGATACATTTATCCCCCTTTTAAAACGGGTCTTTATGTAGATTGCTGATTTAGGGTCAGTAGTACACAAAAAAATAATTTAATCATATTTAAGAGATAATAAAAAAAGGTAGCCAGGCCAATAGTGCAGCACACTTACACTTACACACACACACACACACACACACACACACACACACACACACACACAAACCAAAATAGTTTTTGCCTCATTTCCAGGCAGTATCCTGGCAGACTTTTAGGAGGTCTAAAAGCTGAAGAGTTTATAAAATTAACGTCGTCATGACATTCAAGCAGCCAGCGTTGCTGCCACCGTTGCTGCCACTGCCTTTGTTGCTGCTGTTGCTGTTGCCTGGCTCATCAAACTACCCGAGAGTCCCCCCCAAATCCCCAACTCCTGCTCACCACTTGTCACGCTCCAAAACATCCTTTGAGCTGTCGCTGTGCATTTGTATGCGTTTTGCCTGCCTGATTTATGTGTGACGATGAGTGTGCGTCTGTGTGTGTTTGTGAGTGTGTCTGTGTATGTGTGTGTGTGTGTTTACGTCTCTGTCGTGTTGGCATTTGTCGTTACAAACTTAATTAATGTTATGCTGCCGCCATCGCCTCTGACGCCTCTTGCCAGCGCCTCGGTATATTGGGGTGCCAGCGCTGCCCTTGTCCTCCAGGCTCTTGACTTTTGTCAAGCGCCGCAAAAACTGCAGCCAGTTGCCACTGCGCCACTGTCAGTTTCAGCTGACGTTTGGTGTTTTTGGCTCCCCCCTTCCCCTTCCCCCACCACTCCTCCCTGCGTTTTGCATGTGATTAGGCGGCGTCTGTGTTGGAGTTTCACTTCATGCTAAAGTTTCCCATTGTGTGTGTGTGTCACAAAAATGATGCTCTGCTTTGGGGAAATTTGTGTGTTGCTGTTGACATTTGGCAAAATCGCAATGACAGCATTATCCATATTGGCATAATCACCGTTTGGCTAAGCGTTTGTTTGTCCTACGGGTTTTAGTTTCTTATTTGCTTATACGCTGCGGCTGCTTTGGCAGCTAGTTGAACCACATGATTAGCGAGACCAGTCACAAATTGGGATTGCTGATATTCACACCTCAGTTCAAGAATACGAGTATGCGACGAGATCTTGAGGAAACCAAAAGCACATTAAATTTCGAGCACTTTGCGCAAATATATATTTAAATTTTTCACAAGCACGTGCTGCACTTTTTTTTATTATACATTCAGCAGCTGCAAGCTGAGGGCCTCCGCCATTGTGGCACAGTTAGTGGAGTTGGTGGGGTTCGCAGACAAATGCCGACTTTGCTTTGTGCAGCAGCGCGTGAATCGGGTGTGGGAGGCACAAATGCAACGTCTAGGCAGCAGCCACACAGAAAAATCTGTGAAGCAGCAGCATTTTTATTTGTTTATAGCACAAATGGCGGCACAAAAAGTGCAACAAAAGAGCTGCTGGCTAAGAGGCAGTGCACGCTGGCAAAGAGCAGCACACCTGCCTGGATTCGTACTTAGATGCAACACTCGCTGTCAATACTCCTGTGGGGCACACAAACTTTGCCCAGCCAGCTTATGAGGAATGTTTTGCGTGCTTCTGTGTGTGTTTTTGTGTGTGTGTGTGCTTTTAAGTATATGGCATGTCTATTGTCTGTCTGTCATGTGTTGCTCGGAGCCATCGTAATCAGTTTGTCCTGCCGTAAATTGTGTGAAAAGTGAAACGGATTTGCTGCACTTTCTCCTACCTACAAGAATGTTTGAATGGATTCATTGTAACTGTATATATGTATGTGCAAATATATGTACACCTTTAGCTAGCTAAGGGTATCGCATTGTTTTTCTTAAAGCCAGATCTGGACTAGCCAACAAATAATAAGTAAAGAATTTCAGGAATTAGTTCTAAAATATGGAATTGTCGAAAAAACACTCATACTTTTAATAATCAATAGCTGCTAGAGTCAATTCATTTACTGCACTTTGAGTTGTTTACATTTTAGTTTTATCTAGACAGTATTTGTTCAACATTTCATATACATTACACGTTTATAGTCCTTAACAACGTGCTCTCAAAGTCCCTGCCACCCACTCTGCAATATGCCATACGCTGTATCTGAGCAATGTTAGCAGCAGCAGCAGCAGCGGCAACAGCCACATTGGCAACATAATTTAAATGGCAACTTTAAAATGTTTACCAAACGCTTCATTCTAGTTGTAACGTAAATTTACGGGCCAGCAGCTAAACAAACACACAAACACCCTCACACACTCGCACACACAAGCACACACACACACACACAATGCCAGCATCTATGTGTATGTGTGTGTGTGTGTGTGTGAATGAGTATGTGTGCCTGTGGTTCGTCTGTGCTTTCTATTTGCGCTTAATCCATGGACAGCAGCGCTGAAAAGCATCCTATTTTTTTAAAATATATTTTGCCGTGCATCTGCAGGCGCGAAAAGATATGCAACGAAAAAAAGATTCTGCTCGGCAGATTTGCTCATTACTGTGGCATGTTTTTTTCTTCTACAACTTGGGACGCGCCATTATGTTGGACTTTAATTAAAATTAATTACATTAAGTGCAGCAAGCAAACAGCAGACAAACACACATACCAAAAGAAAAAATCATTCTAAGCACAAACAAAAACAGCCGCAAAAGTGAAGTCCACAAATATGCTTTCAAACACTGAACTCTGAATCCTGGTCGAAGTCTGCTCCCAATTTGCACCCGACGTGTGGGCCTTAATGCGCTTTAAGTGCCGCTGTTTGTAATATTTAAATATTTTGACACACATGCCTCAAGGGCAGAGGCACAGTAAACAGTTAATTCTTCTTTTTTTTTCATGCGCTTTCTAATCTTTGCAGCTTTATTATACCCCAAGGAAAAATTGTGCTGGAAAAATTGGGCCTTTGGCAGAGCTTAAATTAGAATGCTTAGGAAAATCCTCAAATAAATACTTAAATTTGTGTGTCAATAGTAATCTCAATTAAGAGAAATAATATATTTATCAAATTCTAAGTCTCCATTTCCTTTAGTTAGACAGACATTGCTAAATCGACTCGACTATTGATCCTGATTAAGAATTTATACATTTTTTGAGATCATTGATGCTTCTCCTTTATTATACTGTTATACTTAATTATGCCATTTGCCAGAAGAACGTATACTTTATATATTGATTAATTACACTTAATATTCAAGTGACTCGAGCTGTACTTATAATTTAGACTACCAATCAGCTGCACGATGATACATTTTTTAATTAAAAATCAAAATTAATTTCTGCACCCAAGCTTATTTATTTAGAAGAACTTTTTTTCTACTATTTATAAATACATTTTTAATGAGAAGTGATTGTAAAACGCAACTTAAGTCTACCACATTTTCTCTCGCCCTAAATAAATGACTAAAAGTTTGAAACTCAAACTCAATGACAACAAAATATGAAATATTGCAAATTGTTGAAGTGTTCGCCAAGCTCTCAAAGTGCAGTCCAGGCAGTCTACTGTTCCTTTCAAGCAACATAATAAAATTCAACAATTGACAATATTTTCTCCTACTCCCCTTATATTATATACTTTTTTCTATGTTTGAAAATATTTTTCTGAGCAATTAAATGTTGCCAGTTGGCAGAAAAGTTGCAAATAGAAAAGTTTGAAAGCACAAAGTTGAGGCAAAAATGGTATAAAAATTGTCAAGCTGAAATTGGGCAGCAAAAAGTAAAAGCCAGAATCGAAGGCAACACTCTGCAAATAAACTCCGTCGCTGATACAACAATACCAACTGCAAAATAAAAATGAATCCAAGGAAAAAAGAAAAACATTCTGTAATACCAGCGTGGAAAATCATAAATAAAACGCATGTAATCCACGATTGAGTGCTTAAGTTGATTTCCAAGGGGGGTCGTTGCCTGCCCCAGCGATAAGCCAAAATTGATGCTACCCCACACGCA